AGCTTGTGGCATACCTAGAGGAGTCGAAAATGGTCTAGGCTGCATCACTTGATGAGAACTTTGTGACTGATCACCCTGTACGAGGGTTGTCCGTAAAGTTTGAGGACAATCTCAATAATATATTATTTACCCGTTCAAAATAAATAAAACAAGTATATAACTAATTTACTGATTTACTGATTGAGTGTACAAAATTTTATTACAGTACCTGCTTAAATAATCGTATTTTCATCAATTTAAAAATCATAAGAAACTCTCACCCGGAGCACCCAAACAAAAATTTCCGACGTTCGACGACGTCAACGTAGTCTCCTTTCAGAGCAACCCATTTTTTACATCTTTTTAACCAGTCATCAAATATTTTCTCAAACTGTTCTGTTTTCATTTTTTAGATTATGTTCATTACTTCCTGTCTTAGTTCAGATAAATCGTCGAACCTTTGTCCACGGAGAAAAGATTTGATATGATACCGCAAAATCCATTAGCGCTTAGTCAGGGCTATGCGGAGGATGTTTCAGACATTCGAATCCAAGTAAATCAATTTCTAGATTAGTTTTTAGAGAAGTGTGGGCCGGTGCATTGTCTTGGTGTAATATCACTTGCTCTATGTTGGCTGCTAAATAAGGGCGTTTCTTTCTCAAAGCTTGAACCAAATCTCGCCTCAGTACCTGAAAGTACAAAATAAACGGACTTTTAATCGTATTGCATCTAAACTAAAAATAAGATTGATCATTTATTTTTTATTCTTTGATAAACACCTTCTTAAACTGTTTATTTCATTTTATTTATGTTTTAATTATTAATATAAGATCATTCATTATTTTTAAAAGCAAATATTATGTTAAATACCTTGGAATAGTATTCAGAATTAACAGTCTGGCCACGGGGTACAGCATGTGTCAGTAACATTCCTTTTCGGTCCATGAAGAGAATGAACATATTCTTTACCATTGATTTGGTTACCTTTGCCTTCTTTGGTGGCGGTGAGTTACAGTTTTTACACTGACTTGACTGTGGTTTAGTTTCCGGATCGTAGTAATGAAACCAGCTTTCGTCGGTTGTAATTATTCTGTCAAGAAATCGTATGCCACCACGAGAAACTTTTTTAATAAATTGATTTGACAATTCCATTCCTTTTGTTAAATGTTCTGCTGTAAGAAGTCGCGGTACCCAACTAGCACATACTCGATTCATATTTAAATCATTTGATAAAATGTGGTGCGCTGTAGTCTTAGAAATTTGTCTGCAACTTCGCGAACTGTTAGTCGCCGGTCACTGTTGATAACGTTCAGAATTGTCTCTTCCGTCCCCAAACCTTTTGTACCACTTGAATACCAATGAACGACTAACTTTGCTATGTTTCTCAGACTGTTTTAAGAATTTGTGTGTTTCTGTTGGCGTTTTTCCGATGTCTACACAAAACTTTACAACCGTCCGCTGCTCCACCTTTTCCGTAAATTTCCTTTTTTTCAGTGATGCCGATTCTGGATTCAATGCTTCAAATCGAGATTTCTTCGCCATTTCGAAATTTTGACCATTCAAATTAAGCAGGTGTAACGTCAAGACTACTGTCGACGTCACAATGTAAGTTTCATGTATATTTTGGCGGATTTTGAAACTTAAAATAACAAAAATATGAAAACACCAGCCTGCATGTTATGTGATATTTTCGCGGTGCTCCGGGTCCCTATTGCTTATATTTATATGAAGTAAGTGTTATTATTTCGCATTTAAAATTGGACAAATATTGATATAACCGAACTAAGATATAGTTCAGGATTACAAATATGCAAAAAGAATTTACCTGAAATGCTATTTTACGCAGACTTCAGCTTGTCCACGAACTTTACGGACAACCCTCGTACGTAATTTTGCGGAGCAGGACATTGTCTTGACGGTACCAACTACTGTGTAGCTTGTGACTGTTAACCTTGTGCATAACTTTGCGCATCCGAAAATGGTCTAGGCGGCGTTACTTGATAAGTAGCTTGAGACTGATAACCTTGTGTGTAATTTTGCGGAGCAGGAAATGGCCTTGTCGGTACCTATTGTGCATATGCGGTTGGACAATACTGTTGACTAGTATGTTTCCGTTGTATAAACGGCTGACTTTGAGCTTGATGCATTTGCGGCGGGCAGAAAGACGGATTAATCTGTGGTTCTATCACGGTTGCAGCATGGTGCATTACCGAATTACTTGGACTATTTAAATATTGTCTTTCAAACTGCATAGACCTCGTTCCGTCGAAGTTATTTATAGGTGTAGTCGGTTCGCTATAGCTATGACCCCGATAATAACCGGAACCGGAGGTTCCCAGCGAGCTTCGTGCTTTTTTTGTAAATAAATTTGTTGTTTCGGAAGCGCTGATTCAAAGCCTCTACGTATATAGTTCTCACGTTCATAATCACGCGACTCAAACTGAACCGAAGCACGTGTTGTATCCCCGTAACAATCAGTCATTCTACTTTGAGAATTACGCAAAAGAGTTTGATTTCCTTTTTTGTACAAAGGTGTTTCGGGAACTTATTCAACCTCGGTAGGGTATCTATCGCGAATTCTAGTATCAAAATTGCTGTTTTGAATTTCTTCATTACTGTCGGACATGTAACTACTACTTTCGACTTTGCGTATAATTTTTAGAGCGGGTCTCTTATAAATATCTAGAATGGACCTTGTATTTCTTGGTGATTCATAACCTCCTAATGCCCCTTGTTGGACATTTTTGCCTGAAGGTTCTAATTCTGTGTGAGATAAATCAGTTTCACTATCACTAGCATTTAGTTTTAATTTAGACCTTACTTCTGTTTCATTTTCAACATCACTTTCAAGTTCATATATAAGGGGTATATCCCATTTTGTTGGAGACACAATCTTGTTTTGATCATATTAAGATGATTCAAATTGAACATCATGTGGGGTTCGGTAACATGAATTTACATATTAAAGAGTTCACGTTATTTGGTACCTCTCATTTTGACATTTTTGCGCCTGTCCCAAGTCAGGAGCCTCTGGCTTTTGTTAGTCTTGTATGTTTTTAAATTTTAGTTCATTTATATGTTTTGGAATTTAGTGTGACGTCCATTTTAACTGAACTAGTACACAATTTTATTTAGGGGCCAGCTGAGTACCACCTCCGGGTGCGGGATTTTCTCGCTGCGTTGAAGACCTGTTGGTGGCCTTCGGCTGTTGTTTGCTCTTTGGTCGGGTTGTTGTCTCTTTGACATATTCCCCATTTCCATTCTCAATTTTATTTGAAAACAAAGATTTTTTAAAAAACAACTTTTATTATAACAATGTACAAAAATGAATCAGCATCAAATATCAATCAGCATCAAAGAAAATATCAAACAAATTCTACTAATTTATTTTATTTATCTTACTTTAAACCAGGATTCGTGTAACAGTTGACCTACCGGGAGTATCTATAAAAAAATCCTAATAAAATTTATACTAACCATGCTAACAAAAAGGAGGCTCTAAACTACAACATTGCGCAAGTTTGAATACCAATATAAATGTATTGAAACAATCCTCTCTGGTATTAAAATAAGTAAACGTTCTCTAAAACTAGAATTGAACACAATTCCCTCAGGTAACATACCTGTCGCCTTTTAAAAATAACTATCTACCCGAGAGACTAACAATGTTTACATATCATGCTCTGATTGACTAAAATAGTTATCAATAGACCAATGAAATTAAGTTACTAACAGTTCGCGCTTGTGCACGAGCTAATTCCCACTTCCGGTTTGACGGTAAAATCTGCTGAGAATACAATTAATGAAAACTAAAAGACTTTTGCACAAATATGGACATAAAACCCTTATAACTAATGAAAGGAGATAAAAAATAAACACAGTCAGGTAAGAATTCTGAGAAAATTCTGTTAACTTCGAGCCCAGAAACTTAGTTAAACTCAAATTTATTACGAAAACTATATCGATGGCAAAACCACAACTGTCACAGTATCATTGTGATTGACTGCATTGTTTGTCAATGTAAACAATGAAAATCATCATAGATACCAGGATTAAAATTTTGTACGCCGCGCATTTCGTCTACAACAGACTCATCATTGACGCTCAAATAAAAAATGTCAAGAAGGCCAAATAAAGTACGAGGTTGAAGAGCATTGTGGAATCAAAATTCCGAAAGGTGTTTGCCAAATAAAGCTAAGGTTATCTACTCCTTGGGTAGAAAATCCGCAGTATTTCGTCAAAAATCAAAGTTTTGTAAAAAGTTAATTTACAATTCATGTTGTGTCCTCGGGGAGTTAACCTCCATCAGCAGTGGCATCGACCCAGTGGTTGTAAATAAACTCATCATAGATACCAGGATTAAACTGCTGTACGCCAGCTGCGTGTTTCATGTACAACAACTCATCAATGACGCTCGAATCAAAAGTTAAAAAAGTCGAGTTAATTTTCTACTCGCGATAGTCGCGAAAATTAGTTGGTGTACAGCATACATGTTATCATATTAGTAGTAGTGTGTTACGGTAAAAAGTCAACCACAGTCAAAATTGTATATTTACAACAGACATATATAAAGTATACACCTATAATATTCAGATGATCTGATTTTTAAATATTCCTGATGATACATCACGGGTACTGATTTAAAAGAAAAAAAAACAAAAGTGCAAGGCCACGGATGAATAAAATTGGAGGGTAATATTACAAAAAGAGGTCTTACAAAATAGCAAAAATCATCAAAGGTCAACTTTAAGGGAGTTGCTGCCGTAGTTTCTCAATAATAAATTTAATCTGCTACGGATGTACAATGCAAAAATAATTGTGCCTTCTTTTTATTTATACAATCCAGTATCATGTTATAAGTTAAACCAAAGCAATACTCCATACATAATTGAGCTTAATGCCACTTCATTTCTTTTATTACAGAAGTTCAGATACCTTCTTTCGTAACACAGATAGACTGTATCTGAATCGTATGGTATACTATAATAAAGCATACTCCATTTACCGTTTATCATAAAATTTTATAATAATTCACGAGGTGAAATTTTATAATGATTCATAAGAAGAAATTTCCTTATTTTTGCTGTAGGACATACAAACATATAACATTGCATAGCCTCTTCATAACACTGTTTGGCTGCGTCTTCGTCTCCTGATATCTCATAACACACACCAACTACTGTAATTGCTTCTGATAATAAACTTGATAAATCAAAAGATTCATCTTTTACTGATAAATGTAAAGCACATAATGCCTGTTGTCTGTTGAACATATCACCAAGATGATGATAGCATAGGAATTTTAAACAGTGACTCATAACAACAGGCGGTACTTTAAAGGTTTTAATTTTCACCTCCAGTCGTAGTTCTTCTGGTATTAAAGTTGATTGACGTAAGAACCTGACAAGACCTACAGTGGCTATTTTTACCCTCTCATTCAGTGTCATTGCAGAATTTATATTTCGTTTGTAATTATTTATATCTTTTTTACAATAATCGGCACAGCCTACAAGCACCATATCAGGTGTACACTTTGATAAAGCATATTCTGTTAGTCTCAGTGATACGGTGTACTGTCCTGTCACGTAATAAAACGATGCGTACAATAGCCAACCTGATACGGCATCTGCATTGATGCCGTCCAATAAATGTCTGTGATAAATGTTGTGTATTTTGTACGTTTTATTTGTTGTGTTAAGTGGTAGTAGCTTTTGTGCTGCAAATTGACTGATTCTGGCATAGTGATATTTACAGACATCAATGATAAATACAGATGATTCAGACTTTAGCAAACGATTAGTAAGTGTCAGTTCTTTATAACAAATTGAAATGTCATTATGAATCGTTATTGATTCACAAATCTTGTAAATTAAGAGGTCTAACATAAAGAACGAAGTTTCCCACTTTGTACTTAATAGAGCAGTATTTACATTGTCAGGCGGAAATAAATTACTTTTCAATCCATCAATTCCACCACACTTTATACTATCCAGCACATTTAGGAGTTTGCTTTTATTACTTTGATTGATCTTTCCTAGGAACATGTTGTGCTCGGGTATAAAGTAGTTCTGACAGTAACAGTTATTTACCCATGACATCACCTTATCAAGACAAAGAAAAAAACAGCGAAACAATTTGGATAATTGAAATGTGTCAATATCTTCCTCCTCCGAGACCCAGAATAAAGCCGTCTTTAAAAAATAAGAACACAATAATTCATTGACCACATCGATTGTGTTAACGATACGCTTTAATGTTAATTTTAGTAGACCGTAACATAACAGTTGAGTGAAATTAAACGAATGTACAAGTAGTTTTTCTGTCACAGAAAAAGACAATCTCCACAATAAGTCACTATCAGAAACAGTCTTGGGTCCTATAGGTACTAACAAACATCCGTAATTTAATGCCTTTTCAATTACAAAATTAGGGGGCCATTGCTGTCGATGACGGGTTGCCCATCGAACTGCGTTGTAAGGTAGATATTTACTACGTAGGCAATATGCTAAATCGGTAATCTGATCTTTGTCGGATAAGCAGGGGCCGTGTTGAATCAATTTAGCATGTGAAGAGAGCTGCAATATGTTACTAACAAATGCATTCACTGATAAATATAAACCGTCTCTGGTACTTTTAAAGCAGTCAAATGTCAGACAAGGGACACTTTCCCCTCCTGCTATCAATCTTAGCCTGGTAAATCCAGGATTTTCATTATCTGTTTCCATAACCAGTGTTGTACTCTGTATTAGGTGTTTAGTATTCTTTACATTCTTTGCATTCTTTACATTCCTTATAACGTCTACGTTATTGCTCACGTACATTATATCAATGTCACTGCTAGGTAAATCAAGTCCTTCTGATAAACTTCCACTTAATATTTGTGTTATAATAGGACTACTTGCGTTAAAAATCAAATCTTCTAATATGAATAGTCGTTGTCTCTCTCGTATATATATTTCAGTACCAACTGTTTTTACTAGGAGTTCGTACAAGTTTTTCTCTCTCGGGTCATTTCCGAGAAAATCATCTATAATAAAATATATTTATTATATATTACTTAGTTGTAAACACTGGTCAGGAGCCTGTAGTTCAGTGGTTGTCGTTGGTTCATGTCTGTCATATTTGTTTTTCGTTAATTGGTTTGTTAACAATCAGGCCGTTATTTTTCTCAATTGAATTGTTTCATATTTTTCATGTCGGGGCCTTTAATAGCCGACTATACAGTATGGGTTTTACTTATTGTTGAAGCTTGTACATCCACTTAATTTGAACTTTGGTGGAAAGTTGTCTCAATGGCTATCAAACCTCATCTTCTTATTTTTATACAGGTAAATTGTATGTGTAATCCAATAAACGACAATCGTGATGTATCGGCCATCTGTGATGATATTGATATCAGTTCGGTTGCAAAGGTTTTTTCAAACCCCTAAACTGTATGACGTGACGTCATCGATATCAGTCACGGTTATAACGTCTTTACCAAACCCCTTATCTGTATAACCGCACGTAAGTGAGAGGGGAAAACCGTAATGAAAAATATAAAGAAACGTGCATTGGAAGGTAAATACAAGAACAAATTAAATGAAACAAATAATTTAACAACTATTAAGGAAAAGTTTAATTAACAAATGGTAACGCATGGAAAATATAAAAAAAAAATACATAGGCTGAAATGGTTTGATACCGATTTTGCATGTTAATCCAAAAGGCTAACCCCAAAAACATATTGTCTATCGTTTATGAAAAGACTGAAAAAGTATATGCATGACTACGAAACATGGGATTTTGCGCAGAACCTAAACAAAGAATAAAATTGTGGTGAAAAGTATAAAAAGCAAAAATACCAAACTCCAAGAAAAATTCAAAACGTAATGTTCTTTATCAAATGGCAAAATCAAAAGCTCAAACACATCAAAAGAATGGAAAACAACTGTCATATTCCTGAATTTTTACAGGCATTTCCTTATGTGGGAAATGGTGGATTTAACCTGGTTTTATAGCTAGGTAAACCTCTCACTTGTATTACAGCCGCATAAACTTCCATTATATTGACAACAATGTGTGAGCAAAACAAACAGACATAATAGGTAAAATTGTCAAAAAATGATTCACTTTAATAGTTTTATTTGCAACTTCAAATGTTTAAACTGAAAACTTTAAATCTGTTTGAAGAGCGGCAAAATCGAATTGATTATCCGAAGGACAATATTTTTCCAAAATGAGAATGTTGTGGTAAATATGGATGTGAATCGAAAAGATGTGCATGTAAACAATCAGGGCAAATGTACAATAGTAGATATCGCACAAATTTAGAATGTAAACATAGAAGATTTATTTTAGAATAGTGTGCTAAATATTTTGATATTTATGTTTTTAAATGATTTGATAGAATTAATAATTTAACTTTTATCCGTTTTTCTTTATATACGAAACGGTCTATTCAGTGAGGATGCATAATTCCTGAAAGTTTTAGAAACTATACATAATCCATAAACACACCGGTGATTGTGCATACTTCCTGAAAATTTCAGGGATTACACATAATCCCTAATTATATAAATTTTCTGTAACATATAAGTATCAATATGTTTTGTCAAAATTAAGTATTGTACTGATACATGTAAACAATATAATCTTACCTCTTATACATTCCTAGCAATATGATTGGTTAAAAGCAACCGCGTGGAGACCGTGTTTATTTCATATGGGGTTAGTAGGCGTGGTACAATAGTATTCCTTTGCATAGAATGTACGTTAATCTTAAGGTTGTACATGTATGTACTGAATTTACATTCAGACTTTTTTGTTCAAGGAAGACATTTCAAAGATCCATACAGATTTTAATCTACAGACATTATTTGTATTATCAATTTAGATCATCCCATCTACTGGTCTTCGATTATACATAAGCGAATGCGAATTATTACCCATGTGTCTTGTCATGAGTAGAAAGCCTATAGAAGATATACTTATCATAGATACCCGGATTTAAATTTTGTACACCAGACGCACGTGTTATCTACAAAAGACTCTTCAGTGAAAAGATCAGGAACTGTTCATTTCAGGAGCACATGAGTTTTACCCGGTTTTCGTCACATACCGCAATATTCACTTATCTTAACTGGATACGATCCGAACTTTGTTTTTATGTTATACATGACTCTCCTGTATAGAAGGTGAATAAATATAGATTGTTATTGTCAACATGTCTTCATCATTATTGAACAGTATTTTGTGAACTTCTTTACATCTATTTCGTTTCTCTGTTAAGTTATGGTGTTTTGTGGTCATGATTTTGTCTCTTTGTCGTTTCCCTTTTTGGTCATGGTGTTGTCTGTTTTGTCTTTGGCTTATGGTTTTCGTTTTAAATCTTTGTATGTTTTCCTCATTTAAAACTTTATCGGTTTTATTACATCAAAACCCTTATATACACCTATCATCGTGTAGATTTCAAGACATGAACATTACCCAGTTCTTACCTCTATTGTAGTCTATACAATTCTGTAAGTATTCCATATAGTAGTTTGAAGTTTTGACAGGATATCTTATGTTTAATATCCTCTGTTCTTGTGTTTTTCTTCTATCTAAACACGCTTTATATATTCGTTCAAACTGTCTGATTGTCAGGCCGAAAACGTCATTTGAGATAATCATCCCTCCATCTATTGATTGGTGAAGTAATGGTGTATATGCACGCCTTCCACGGTACGGAAAACGTTTAACACCGTATAATTCCAAATAAGATATTTTCCTCATTCCAAATAAAACTTCATCGTCAAAACTGTCATGGTTTCTATAGTTACCGTTCATGATGCCTGTAAGAAAGATATGATTACATACTTTCAATTAAGAATTTCGTATGCAATGAATATAAAGTGTCATATACATTTGTAACTTATCACTTTATAAGATGAATTAACGATTATTAGTTACTATACTCTGCCAAAAAGGAAACGCACAATGGATTTTTAAGAATTGTATTATTTTGGAATAAAAAATTTACAATTACAAATATAGATATTCACTAAAAAAATTTGTGATGGTGAAGAAAAACAGTCAATTCCTTCAAGGGTGATGAATACAAATCAGTTTATCACAATAAGTAATACTTCCGGTCATATTAAAAATAGTAACGTGTATTACCACCTCGCGCTGCCCACACTGATCTGCATCTCCTTGGCATGGACTCGATCAATGTTATTACGTTGTTGCGTGGAATTGCTCGCCATTCCTGTTGCAACATTTGTCGGAGCTAATCGAGGGTCTGAGTGTCCGAGGCGGAGGTTGACGCTGGCGAACATTCGTGTTTATCCAGTTGGTTCCATAGGTGGTCGATCGGATTCAAGTCCGGTGATTTGGAAGGCCATGGAAGCATGCGCTGGTATACACAAATTCTTCCATCACGTTTCTGCAGCAGATAACGGGACTTATCGCTGAACCAGATTCTTTGCCAGTTACGAAATGACAAGCCTCAATCTGTTGCACCATCGGACCCTATCCCGTTTGTGTAACGGCGTCAAAACTGCTCCAAAATATGGCCTCCTGTGTCTAATGCCATGTTGTCGAAGTCGGTTGCGTACTGATTGTTTCTTCGCAATTCTGGTATTCTAACTGAAGTTGCTGTAGCGGCAACAGTTCGATTTCGTAGATGATAAATCCGGTCGTAGCGATCTTGTCCTGTAGTCGTAGTGCGAGGTCGTCTAATCTTGTGGTGGTCATCAGTAGAGCCAGTCTGTTAGTATCTGTTCAACATTCGCGAAATTGTTCTCTGGTTAACATGTTCTTGCAACATCACTTTGGGACACTCCGGTCTGAAGACGGCTATTTCGAGTATCAGAGTCCAACCTTGGCATGGCAGCATTGGAACGTTATGATGAAATAAATCTTCAAAACTCGTTCCTTTCATACGCGATAGCTTAACAGTTGAGTTGACAAAACTCTCATGAAAAACGTTAGCAAAAGGTCGCGGCGATAAAGGTGATATGCACTGTTATCATGTCGCCGAGCCCATGTGGCAGAGGGCCAAATCTTATAAACAGATTGGTTTTTTTTTAAACTTACCTGTGAAAATTCAAGGATGCAATTGTCATTTTACCTGGTAAAATACATATTTTGCATATTGAAAATTTCAACCGAGGTATGCTTTTCTTTTTTTAAACAGTATATATATATATATATATATATTATAAGTCCAGGTGTAAAACTTGGTTCCTAATTTTAGCTACACTTGTCTATATAAATGTTTTAGAGCTTGTTGTATCATACGTCTGAAGTAACGTTTCATAGCTTTTATTGACAGTATTATATCGACAAGTAAAGTTAATGACTTGATAAAATGTTGAGTTGGTCGAAACACTTAGGTTCATCTACCCCCAAGCATAGCCTTAGGCGTATTTGGCACAACTTTTCGGTACATTTTGTTTCTTATGCTCAACATACTCAACTTTGTACATGACTTGGCCTTCCAACTGTTTTGATTCGAGCGCTTCTGGTAACTCATATGCAGACGAAACGCGCGTCTGGCGTTTCAAATTTCCAGCCTGGTAAATTTGATGTTTTGCAAATTTAGTGTTTGCGAAAAAAACAATGAACGAAAAATATATACAACAGACTGAAACCAATGGTTACCACTGAAGTACAGGCTCATGACTTGGAAAAGGCACAGGAAGAATATGGCGGGGTTAATATAAAAAGAAGATGTGGTATGATTGCCAATGAGACAACTCTCCACAATAGACCAAATGACACAGAAATTAACAACTATAGGTCACCGTACGGCCTTCAACAATGAGCAAAGCCCATACCGCATAGTCAGCTATAAAAGGCCCCGAAATGACAAATGTAAAACAATTCAAACAAGAAAACTAACGGCCTAATTTATGTACAAAATAATGAACGAAAAACAAATATGAAATACAGCAACAAACGACAACCACTGAATTACAGGTTCCTGACTTGGGACAGGCACATACAGAATGTGGCGGGGTTAAACTAGTTTTTTGGCGCCAAACCCTCCATTTTACCTGGGACAGTGGTGTTACGGCACAACATAAAAACAAACTATGCAAAACAATAAACGAAATACAAATATGAGAAACAGCAAAAAACGACAACCGCTCAATTACAGGCTCCTGACTTGTGACAGGCACATATAGAATGTGGCGGGGTTAAACTAGTTTGAAGGCGACACCACCCCCGCCCCTAACCTGGGACATTGGTGTAACAGTACAAAATAAGAACAACAAAGTATAGAAATCAGTTGAAAACGCTTAACTCATCAGATGGATACAAATAGAAATACATCCAACAAAAACACAAAGTGGACGTGTACTTGTACTTAAACATGTTTGTGAGCACTCAACCCTCACCTAACCTAAGACAATGGTGTAACAGTACAATAGAAGAACAAGCTGTTAAAGTCAGTTAGAAAAGGCTTGAATCGCACTATCAACACGATTAAAACAAAAACAAAAACAACTAACATAAAGAGGAAAGATAAAAAAAAAAAAAACGATCTAAGAGTTCTCGTGGTTACTGAAAGCTTATTCAAAACCAATAACAACTAATCAAGAAATCATGTTTCCCAGACTAAAGTATTAATCAGTACAGATCCAAAGGATTTAAGGTAAAGAGAAACCGTCTAAGAAAAGCTTGATCTTGTGCAAATAAAATTACATAATACCGACAAGTTTTTACCAGTGAAAAACATCCTTGTGAACAAACTGTTAATATTTGTCTTGAGGATATCTGATTTTGGTCGAATTATAACAAGGATCGAAGGTCACTTAAACATAAGTAGCTTAAGTGTTGTATAAATATACTTACATGCACTTGAAATCAAACCACGTAAGTAAATCATAATTTGAAACCTTACAACTCCATTCTTAGTTTTAATACCTACATTTCAAAGTGTTCATTTGATAACATATCCACTGCATTTTAATATTACATATCGGTTGGTAACTGAAAAGTTGTTTGCACATAGAAATGTTTTATGTTGGACATGTTTTATAGTATCCTTTTATCACATTAAAAAAAAACTTAAGAAATATGTGCATGTCCCAAGTTAGGAGCCTGTAATTCAGTGGCAGTCGTTTTGTTGCTGTATATCATATTCGTTTTTCGTTCATTATTTGTACATAAATCAGGCCTTTAGTTTTCTCGTTTAAATTGTTTTACATTTGTCATTTCGGGGCCTTTTATAGCTGACTATGTGGTATGGGTTTTACCCATTGTTGAAGGCAATACGGTGACCTATAGTTATTAATTTCTGTGTCATTTGGTCTCTTTTGGAGAGTTGACTCATTGTCAATCATACCACATCTTCTTATTTTTATATTAACAACCAAGGACCGAGCCGATAATGATAAGGATATTTATAACTATCCATAAAGATAAGGGCAATAATTTGAACATTTAGCAAATCCAAACCTTTACATGCTATAATAAGCTTGAAAGAGCCCCGATATTACTAGATATAAATAAAACTTAAAAGAGAAAACAAAAGAGAGGCGAAGAATACCAAAAGGACATTCAAACAGGTTGGTTGAAAATAAATCATGGGTAAACAAGACAAAGACAAACAGACATACACCAGTACACAAAACAACATAGAAAACCAAAGACTGAGCAACACGAACCCCATCAAAAATTGGGGGTGATCTCAGGTGCTCCGGAAGGGTAAGCAGATCCTGCACAACAAATTGCATGATTATACTACAACAATAAAGGGTTGAATAGGTCATGCGTTTTCTTCTATATAAAAATAAGGAGATGTGGTATAATTGCCAATGAGACACCTATCCACCAAAGTTCAAATGGAGTGAATGTAAGCAATTATAGGCAACCGTACGGCCTTCAACAATGAGAAAAACTCATACCATATAGTCGGCATGTTTGTTTCATAAACAATGAGTTAATCTTATAAACATTACAATTACCATTATATCCTAAAAGTTTATTTTTAAAATGTGAAGATATACTTCATAGCCATTAATTTATATAAGTGTCAAAACACGCATTTTGTTCAGACAATCATCATGTGTTTACCTACAATGTAACTTCAGTAAAATGATTTAATACAGTAGAAAAAAAAAGAAAAATGTCTTTGCTGGTCAATTTTTATATTTTCTTATAGAATGCACTACAGAAAAAATGTTACCCTAATTTTAAGCTCTATATTATTGTTGGTTGTCTTTTGGTCGTTTTTTCGTTTTTGTCATGGCACTGGCAGTTCAAACTAATGCAATCCCAACAGTATTATTTACACAATTCCTCCTAAAAGTTTTATTGCTTGAATATATAATTCTAGGCCATACATTCATATAAAAGTAAAAAGACGCATTTTTTTTCAGACGACCACCATTTTTATCATTTCAATTCCTTTTAAAAAATCGTAAATATTTCCGTGTTGGTTCATTTTTATATTATATGTATCTAACATCAATTAACAAAGGGATAATTGTCGGTCTCATTTGAATTGTACATTATATTCACTGTAATCAAGTAAAGCCGTTTTCACACTGAGGCCTGTACAAGTTTTATACAAGTCTAATGGAGTTTTTGAACATTAATTATAAAGTATATATGAATGCGATAATTCTGCAAATACTTCAAGTTGTTAATTGACTTTTGAATAAAGAATTGAATGCATCATGTGCATGTCAACCAACTGATTAGTTTTTATTTCAATGATGCAAACAAAAAAACTTGTGTTCACAAAACATGTTTCCCGTGGCCTTAGAAAGCTATTTATCTAAACATATTTTACAATGCAAAACTGGCTGCATTTGTTTAAAATGTTGTTTAG